AAGGAATTCAGCACCCTGATGAAATGACCCTTCAACAATAGAAAAGACACTGTCATTGCTCACGTGACCTGTAGAGGGCCCAGCAGCAGCAGCACGGATCACAGGTGGAGGAGCAGCGTGTGTCTTGCCGTCACAGAGGTGCTGGAAACAAATTAAACATACTTATTAATCATGTGTTTATGATTTGTCTGTATCAAATATTTTTGAGACATTGTTACAATCTGTGCAACATTTCAAATACAGTGCACCAACCTTGTCAACCTCAGCGGTGGCAGGTGTTGTCCTGGGGATAGCGTACACCAAGGCAGGCGCTGCCTGGTCCTAAACAATGATATTAAAACATTACTGACCTGTATATAAACATCAACCCATACAACACCAGGAAAATTACATTTCAGAGGACATGCAGTTTGCAGCAGTTAAAGTAGAGCTGCAATATAAAAACACACTGACCTGGTTGTCACGCACATCAGCAGGCTGGCCAGCAGACATCTCTGGCAACTCTGTCAGCAGGGAAGGTGCCAGCTCCTGAACCTATAAGAAAAGAGGGAAAACAATATTTTACACACAATGACACTAAACTGTGCCTCATGTCATACTCTTCAGTTTTTTCCCCTTGAACACAACAAATATGAGAACATTTCACATAAAACCCCACTAACCTGGTCCTCTGAGGCAGCAGGCGTGTCAGGGGACATCTCTGCCAACTCGTAAACCGGGGGGTGGGTGCCGACTCCTGAACACAAGACAAAAGAGCCATTTAGAAACCTTGAAAAATAATAATATACACACATAATATTTACTAACATCCTCCTCTGTAGCTATATTGGAGGGTCTGGCAGGTGTGGGCCTGGGACACACCTCCACAACAATGGCAGTTGCCTCGACCTTCAAAAACGAGTAGCATAAACAAACAAGTACTTTCTTTGACTTTCTAATGATGGAAGTACGATATCATACTTTATTGCATCACACTGGACTAACATGTTCAATTAATTAAATCTTGAAGAAAATGATGACAAACCTGGCGTTTAGCAGATCTCCTCTGTGAGGCAACTCGCTGTGGCCGAGGTCCCGATCGGGCCCTCTGAAGTAAAGACAAAAAACATACATCAGCATATCAAGCAATTATATTTGCTACATACCTCCATCTTACATTACAAACACTGACTTCTGTTAATGTTTGAGGAAGGGGCAAAGCAAAAGCTTGAATGTGCATGTAAAATTACCTTGGCTTGTGGACCAGGAAGACCCTCATGGCCAGGCAGATGGGACGGCACAAGCACGTCCATCCTGGCCAACATGGACTCACTAAACCGTACAGGATTCAGGGCGATAAAACACTCGCGAAGTCGTATAGGTGCCTGTGAAAAAAAACACAAACACCATTAATTCCTAGTCTAAATGCATCTTCTGATAATATAAAAGCACAAGACCAAAACAAACCTGCTCTTGTGCCGTCCTCTGGGAAACACCTGAGGAAGCTTCCCCTGATGTCTTCCTCTGCATAAGACAAAACACCTTGCATTACAATACATTACTTTTGCCACCACAGAAACAAGGTGCCAGTTTAATGTCAGCGCGCAAATATTACCTTCCTGCCCTCCACTGGCAGGAATCCATCAACATCCGGAAAGAGGTTTAGGTTTCTCCTGGCGACGCACACGGTCGTCTTGATGCACAACCACAAGTGGCCGGACCCGAGGAGGAGATGGTACTGCAGGACGAGCCGGCACAGCAGCAGGCTGCAGCTGGGTAGCCGCTGACGACTGCACATGCTCCAAAGCAGCATACCACAGCACGTCAGTGAGGACAAGCATGCCGTGGTCGTCACTCAAGTGGATCTGCAACAAATAATCGAAGCAGAGGAAGAAGTTTGTCGTCATTGTCAACATTTTTCTATGAATTGAACCACATAGAATTGTATTACCCCCCATCCCTATTTAATACATATTGTACTTACGCCATCTCGGCTCCACAGAGAGCGATCGTTCAGGGGGAACTTGTCAGAATAGGAGTAGTACTTGAGACCTTAAAACAAAGACAACCCCAATATGAATCGTTGGAATAAAATGGCTGCATTTCCTAAAAGCATAATCATTATTGGCCATACTAAAATCAACTTGAAACCGACCTATCCTTGCTGCCACTCTGTGGAACTCATGACGAAACGCTTCCTGTACGTCAGGCGCAACTGTCAGACGTGGAACAAAGTCCAAGACAAACACCTGCACATAATAATACTTTGTTAATGACAACACCCAATCAACATCTATAACTGTAGTAACAAACAGATTATACAGAGGACAATATATAAGAAGGACCTACGTCAGGAAAGAGTTCACAAGCACTTCGGAGGAGGGCGTGAAAGGCCTGCCCAGCCTCACAAGACGTCCGGCTGGCGGTGAGGTTATTGCTGGGAGCAAGGACACAGACAACATCAGGAACACACGGGAGTGGAGCCTGCACCAACTCTGTCCTCAGCTGAGCAGCACATGCGCCTGGAGTAGACATGAACCCAAAGGAGAGGATTCCCGGTGGGATGGCCACAAAGTCATCTGCGAAAGCACGCAGATGACTGTCTCCAACCACAAGAACAAACTGAGAAAAAGACAAAGACGACATGTTACCAACAATATTATAAGCTCTTTGTCTCAGCAAGGATGAAGTTTACAAAGTACAACATAATTACCTTGTTGCCAGGAGCAACAGCTGGAATGACCAGTTTGTGCTGCCTATTGGTGTGGGGAGAAATAGGCCATTTGCGAACCCTGTGGCGCATCCCAGTGCCCTCCCCTATTTATGAGACAGATAAAGGGAAAGAAATGTACAGTTAATGGTTTGAACAAATCATGAATTATGTCAACACAATTACATGCCTCACAGCAACTTTATAAATATTCAGGTAAAAACTTCACTTTTATCATCAAGCCACAGACGTTTTGAAATGACAAAGTATAGAATAGATTACATCATTTGGCCACTTACATCCAACAAAGTCAGGGGGGAGCCCCCTGCGATACTCCAACATCTGTGTGTCTGCCTTCTTCGCAGCCTCCCTGCGCGAAGCAGCGAGTGCACGACGGTGGGATTTCCCGCGTGGCATCTGAAAACACATGGAATGATAAACAAAACACACTCGTACTCATAGTAACAGTCTATCACATGCACAAAGTATTAACAACACATTAGCTTTAGCTAGAAGCAACAACAGCTGCTAACGCTACGTAGCCTACACAATGTTATCTTCAGCAAGTGCTACTGAACTCAAACGGTAACAAGCTGTCTTTATTTGGCGGACCTCCTCACAGGCGCGCTAATAATACTAGTTACAGTCAATGTCTAACGTACACAGCTCACGTTACCACGCTAATTACTCTGTTAGAAATCACACTCACCTTGCAGAAGTCCACAATAATTCCTCGGAGATGATACTGAAAGCTTTACAGCGTCTGCGAAACAGGATTTGCTATGAAAGCAGTAGGAGCAGCTAAATCACTGTGTTCTCTCGAACCGCGACGAAGCTACAGAGGGTGCCCGCCCGCGCCATCTGGGTTTGTAATGGGCCAACCTATCAGTGACGTCAGACGGGGGAGTTTCCAACGTCATCACCGCGTTGCGCGCGCAACCAGGGCCAGAAAGTCCACAAACTGCGGGGCTTTGTGTCGTCACAGATCGTCTGGCGGGCCGCCATCTTGGTCAGGTCGGCTGCGGTCTAAAGTTTTGTTTGTGTCATGGGGTGTGAGAGCCGACATGCAGGATATGCCTGAAATCGTCTCGTCGAGACGAACAAAATCAGCACACCCACAGCCCCTGTACGATGTTCTGTTCTGTAAAGCATGGGAGTGCTTTTGGTCATTTATATTGACTGTTTTGACAATTTTTCAATGTTTTGGAAGCTTTATGTTATTTGGAACTTGGTTGTATGGAGAGAAATAATGTTTTGAAGACAACTACCAATAAAACTGAACATATAAGCAGTAAATATGGCCAAAACATGGACATTCGCCTGGTATATTTTTGAAAGATTGTGTAATAACTGTTGTATATCGGTTTCTTTTCATCACATTTACAATTACAGCTGTATTCTAGGTGTATTAGAAGATATTCAGGCACCAACAGCAATTTGGTGTGAATTACATAACAAAAGACCAAGACAGTCTTGGACTGAAAGGGGTGATTGCTTAAACTGGCTTTTCTTTGTCAGCATGGGACACCATTGTCCACGTCAGCCAATCGCCACACGACACACGTCACAATGTACTTTAAAGGTGAAGTGTGTCGCACTACTCTTGCACACGGACCACACTGCTACAGGAAGGACTACCAGGCTCCAACTGAACAGTTCCCTGCCGAAACTTGGACATTTTAAGTGATTACATTTTGAGGTAGGTCATGGATTTACACTACAACAAGCTGTTTAACTTAAATTGTCCTTGGCATAATATCTGAAGATAACATATACATTACAAGAAACTGTGCTTGTAGCTGGGTTTTTGGGCCACTTTTAATTTTCACTTTATGTGCCCTTAAACCAGATATGGCATCACCAACTAAACTACCTAGAGGAAACGTGAAGGACGGTGAAACAGAAGAGGCCAGGCAGTCACTCCAACTATTAACTGTACGTATCCAGTGGGATGAATTCATGAGACTGTGTCAACACTATACCTGTGTTACTGTTATGGCTCAGTAAGGTTAACGTTGTGATATCAACACTTCTTGAATGTCAATGCAAGACTGGTAAGACTGGTAGGAACACATGCAGCTAGATATAACAGTAGCTTTGTTACAGACGAAAAATATTTCTCGACGTTACTCTTGTTGTTAACTTTTGATTTCCAAAACCAGAAACCATCAAAGCAAGACCTAGTATACTGCACATTCTCTGAATAATCACCTTTCACTTTTTTAGATTGTTGCATTATAGATATGAACATTTGTTTTATTGTATTTGCAGTATAAATGCCTGGATGCACTGGCTGAGCGGGAAGACCTATACAGGCAGTCCCTCAATACCAGCCATAAGGTAATGGACCTACTCGCCAAAAAAGAGCGCCTCCTCAATGCCAGCGAACAAAGGGCCAATTTGTGGAAGACACGAGTTGCGACACTAGAGGCAGAAGTCAGCACACTGAAAAACAAATTAGAAAAGGCCCGTGAAGACAACGACGTGCTCCAAGCATCCCTCACTTGCTGTTTGGATGGTAAATTTTTCTATATAGTAGCAGAGTATGAACTGCCTTACATCTCTTGAATAAAGGAAGGAATAAGTGTGTGTGCATGCCTGTGTGTGTGTATGTCTGTCTGAATTTTGATTAACTCAAAAACTGTTCATTCTATTGACTACAACTTGTCTGTGTTGCTGCTGGAAATTACAAAATACATCCATAGCTTTATGGTTGTGGATCACTGAGAGGCACACAATTTTGAACACAATATATTTATCTTTTGAACAAATGAAAGCTGATTTTAAAGGGCTGAAGTAAGTCAGTGGCGCATGACATTTAACATTATTTGGTTTCTGTTTCCCCAGCAGTATTTGCCCAAAAGTAGCTCTATTTGAAAACAATGACTGATATTGTAACAACTCTGCCCCTATTTCGCTATTTCTGCACATTCTTTGAATTAGTAGACTAATATAAAAACATTTTTTTTTGATTGCATGTATTTTTGTCTACTTATATACAGATATGAGAGAGGCCACCAAGGACACCACAGAAGAAGACGAAGACCTCTAAGGCCATCTCTTCACATTGTACATATTGTTCATATGTATATTTTTCTGTTGTTATTCTATTAAACATTTCTTTTGTTCATTTCTTGAAAGTGCTTACTGTCTACCTATGATTACTATTATTAATACTATTTGATCATACATATGTACTTATGGGGGGGAGGAAACAAGACAGACAACAGACATGGTTAGATTGACTGCTGTCACTGTGTCTTGTATACTGGTTTTAATGTCACATGTGTATGAAGGTGGATCAAACAAGCTAATCTTAAATGTCAAAGTAGAGAGGAGCCTAGTAGGCCTATTTATTTTCATTCATTACACAATATGAATAAGCTATGCAGACAGTTGTAAAGAAAGAACATCTTTTTCTTCTGTTCCCTACTTGTTATAGTTACACAGTATTAGGGGTGTGGGCTGTATTAAAAGTATCCACTGTTCTCCCATGCTCTAACACACAGTAACGATGAAATGTGCGTTGTTCTCACATTCTTCCTCTGTATGTACACATAAACAACAAGGCAGGGAAATATAAAAGGAATTTATTTTATTGTTTGGGTACATTATTGTTCAGTGTACATGCTCACATCTGAAACAAACTTTACGTGCTTGATAACTCTCCCACCCCGCAGACATCTACACGCCAACACCGATTTATATTCATAGCGGCAAGTGCTATGTAGCTCCACATAGGGGACACAGGAAGTGACATATAACACCTTCATGCGGCGTCATAACCGCGTAGCAAATTCACAGCCGCACCGGCAGAGCTCCAGAATGTGCAACTCGGCCGGCTCACACGCGGACGCGCTTATAAGTGCGAGGGCCCGCCCAACGCTGCTTGCAGCTTTAATTTATTTTTTTTTTATTTTTTTTTTTTTTTCTGCAAAGTAGGCTCAACTGACATGGCCTAAACATTCTCGAAAACTCACCAAAATTTGCAAACATGTCAGAACCGGTGAAAAATTTCGTATTCTACAAGTTTCGCACATGGGCGTTGCAAAATGACTCGCTAGCGCCACCTAGAAAATTGGAAAAAATTAGCCCCTCGTTCACGTTCAACCTACATGTACGAAATTTTCTGGGGACATGTATCATATCAAGACGCACAAAAAAGCCTCAAGAACCCATAGCCTAAAGTCAACAGGAAGTCGGCCATTTTGAATTTTACGGCCATTTTTGGATGATTTACACACTTCGTACTTTAACGAACTCCTCCTAGGGATTTAGTCGGATCGACGTCAAATTTCTGCTGTGCCTTCTAAAGGCATTGACGATGAAAAGTTGTGCTATTTGCGCGTTTTCGTCAATGGGCGTGTCCGTGGCGTCGATGATTCGCTATGAAACAGGAAGTTGTTGTAACTTCAGTGTACATGCTCACATCTGGACCAAACTGTACATGTAGGATGAGAGTCCCGCCCTGAACACATGTACATGCCGACATTCACCCACAGTCATAGCGCCACCTGCTGGCAACAGAAAGTGACCTTTAACGAAGCAGCCCCCGCCGCACGTTTCACCTACGTGCACGAATTTTCTGTGGTACGTGTATCTTGTCCAGACGCACAAAAAAGCCTCTTGGAGCCATAGCCTAAACCCAACAGGAAGTCGGCCATTTTGAATTTTAAGTCAAATTTTGGATGATTTACACACTTCGTATTTTAACGAACTCCTCCTAGGGATTTAGTCCGACCGACCTCAAATTTGTGCTGTGCCTTCTAAAGGCATTGAAGATGAAAAGTTGTGCTATTTGCAAGTTTTCGTCAATGGGCGTGTCCGTGGCGTGGCGTCAAAGATCAGCTCTTCGCCAAGACACGGAAGTTGTCGTAACTTCAGTGTACATGCTCACATCTGCACCAAACTGTACATGTAGGATGAGAGTCCCGCCCTGAACACATGTACATGCTGACATTCACAGACAGTCATAGCGCCACCTGCTGGCAACAGGAAGTGACTTTTAACGAAGCAGCCCCCGCCGCACGTTTTACCTACGTGCACGAATTTTCTGTGGTACGTGTATCTTGTCCAGACGCACAAAAAAGCCTCATGGAGCGATGCCCTAAAATCAACAGGAAGTCGGCCATTTTGAATTTTACGTCAAATTTTGGATGATTTACACACTTCGTACTTTAACGAACTCCTCCTAGGGATTTAGTCCGACCGACCTCAAATTTGTGCTGTGCCTTCTAAAGGCATTGAAGATGAAAAGTTGTGCTATTTGCAAGTTTTCGTCAATGGGCGTGTCCGTGGCGTGGCGTCAAAGATCAACTCTTCGCCATGACACGGAAGTTGTCGTAACTTCAGTGTACATGCTCACATCTGCACCAAACTGTACATGTAGGATGAGAGTCCCGCCCTGAACACATGTACATGCTGACATTCACAGACAGTCATAGCGCCACCTGCTGGCAACAGGAAGTGACTTTTAACGAAGCAGCCCCTGCCGCACGTTTTACCTACGTGCACGAATTTTCTGTGGTACGTGTATCTTGTCCAGACGCACAAAAAAGCCTCTTGGAGCGATGCCCTAAAATCAACAGGAAGTCGGCCATTTTGAATTTTACGTCAAATTTTGGATGATTTACACACTTCGTACTTTAACGAACTCCTCCTAGGGATTTAGTCCGACCGACTTCAAATTTGTGCTGTGCCTTCTAAAGGCATTGAAGATGAAAAGTTGTGCTATTTGCGAGTTTTCGTCAATGGGTGTGTCCGTGGCGTGGCGTCAGAGATCAAGTCTTCGCCATGACACAGGAAGTTGTTGTAACTTCAGTGTACATGCTCACATCTGAACCA